AGAAGAACCGCAGAGAGAAAAAGGTTCCCCTTAGATTGACAGTGTGAGAGGATAAAGACTCACGACGGATCTTAAAGAGGACCTGTCATCAGGTACAAGATACATAGTAATGAGTCATTGTGACACTTCCAGGTAATTATTACATCTTGCAGAAATCACCGCACTCCCCTGACAATGCCTCCATCTGCTTTTCTCTTCAGAAGGACGGCACCATGTTTGTTCAGGCATCATCCAGGGTCACCATCTACTTCCTGGAACGAGATGCCGGCTCAGAGATGGCACAGTCATGTAAATCCTGTTGCCTGTACAGTTCTTCTCTGTGTTCACAAATGTCTGAGACAGAGTAGCCCCTGCTGGAGCTTCTCACCTTGTGACTTGCTGCAGAGTTACAAATTTTTTCTCTGGGGGAGGGGAGACTGAGGAAATGCTTCCCCCTGCTTGCAGCAGTCTGATCACTGGGGGAGGGGAGACTGAGGAAATGCTTCCCCCTGCTTGCAGCAGTCTGATCACTGGGGGAGGGGGAGACTGAGGAAACGCTTCCTCCTGCCTGAAGCACACTGATCACTGGGGGAGGGGAGACTGAGGAAATACTTCCTCCTGCTTGCAGCAGTCTGATCACTGGGGGAGGGGGAGACTGAGGAAACGCTTCCTCCTGCCTGAAGCACACTGATCACTGGGGGAGGGGAGACTGAGGAAATGCTTCCTCCTGCCTGAAGCACACTGATCACTGGAGGAGGGGAGACTGAGGAAATGCTTCCTCCTGCCTGCAGCAGACTGATCACTGGGGGAGGGGAGACTGAAGAAATGCTTCCTCCCTCCTGCAGCAGTCTGATCACTGGGGGAGGGGAGACTGAGGAAATGCTTCTTCCTGCCTGCAGCAGAGTAATGGCATAATCTCAGCCAAGGCAAAGTCATTGGCTGGAGTTCAAGGATGACTTCCGCTTGCATTATATCCCCCATAGCACCTCCCACTGATGCATTTTGCTCCCGAACAGAGATTAGATTGCACTCAGGCTCTGCGATGCAGAAACATGCATGAGGTGGAGGTGCTGAGCGGGCTTTGATCTGCACCTCATCACAGAGTAAGGATATTTTGGAGCATGGCGTCGCTTGGCATCCCCCCAATGGTTAGACACATGGTTATTACATCCCCATGGCTGACCTGACTGATCGGTCGTCGCTCCCGGTAATGGCCAGCGGTTTGGTGGGATGGACAGCCAGGGCCCAGAGCTCGCCCTCGCAGTGTCCTTGCATGATCAGGAAAGGCTTGTTGCGTTCGTGGACCACAATCTCGAATATTTCACTGTCCTGAGTCCCCACCAGGATGTGGTCCCCCCTCCAGCACACGCTGCGAACGGACAGACCTGGGGAGAGAACGTTATACAGAAAATGTCAGCACGCCGCGTATGATGTACGAGAAGACACGTTACCATCTTCATGTCGCTGCTCCGCTGCAAAGATCTCAGGAACGCTGCTCAGTAAAAGCGTTCGACCGACAATACATCCCTACCCCCGCACCATCCAACAAATCAATACGTTTATAAAGCCTTAGAATGTGAAAAGCAGCTGCGATCAAAAATAAATATAATGTTATATCCACATACTGTATATATCCGGAGATAAATAATAAACATGAGCTACAAATAATGAATACAATGTTACAGAAGTTGTTTACTTCCCCTTAGATGGAAGTCCTGGTTATTTGGTGCTGTTATGCATACTAAGGAGCTAGGAGGCAGAAAATGTTATAAGGATGAGCTCAGGCAGTTGATGGGGGAGAAAATGTCAGACTTCGGAGGTGAGGGGGGAGTCTCTCACTTCTAAAACACCCAAAGTATATAAAGATAAACATGGAGACATATAAAATATAAGCGGAGAATGTGACAACGCTGTTTTAACAATTTAAGACTGAATATATATATATATTCACTATATTGCCAAAAGTATTGGGACGCCTTTACACGCACATGAACTTTAATGGCATCCCAGTCTTAGTTCGTAGGGTTCAGTGTTGAGTTGGCTCCGCCCTTTGCCGCTACAACAGCTCCGCCTCTTCTGGGAAGGCGTCCACAAGGTTTAGGAGTGTGTCTATGGGAATGTTGGACCATTTGTGAGGTCCGGTACTGATGTTGGGGGAGGGGCTCGCAGTCTCCGCTCTAATTCATCCCAAAGGTGTTCTATGGGGTTGAGGTCAGGACTCTGTGCGGCCAGTCACGTTCCTCCACCCCAAACTCCCCCATCCGTGTCTTTATGGGCCTTGCTTTGTGCACTGGTGCGCAGTCATGTTGGAACGGGAAGGGGCCATCCCCAAACTCCTCCCACAAAGTTGGGAGCATGAAATTGTCTTTATTGCTTTGGTGCCTTAAGAGGTCCCTTCACATGGGAAATGTCACGGAACACCTGAATCCAATGATTTGGAGGGGGAGGGCCCAATACTTTTGTCAATATAGTGTGTATATATATATATTATTAATAATAATAATAATAAATGTCTGTATAATGTCTTATAATTAAAGTAATTCACATTGTTTCCTCTGAAATCCAAACAAATAACTGTTTTAGCACTCGGGCTGTTTGAAGGGGCGATCGGGCGAGCTGCAGGTGATCTTTATTACCTGCCGCCGCCGGCTATATTGGCTCATCAGATCTCACCATCTGTAGCACAACATAAAATTGGGTCAGCAGAGACAGATAATTTGGTTTCTAGGCTCAAATAGCCAGTTTCCCTTCACCGGCTGCAGAAATGGCTGCATGAGCATCTCCGCCAACTGCTGGGCTGGGAATAGGATTGTGTTGAGCCGATCGGAGGCGCGCTGACCATTGTATGTTAGATTATAGACCCCTGGGAGCCGTTCACACGGGGCAATGACACACATAGGACTATACACATTTATATATGTTCATAGGACGTTTCTAAATGCACGAAATGACTTTAAATGGTAATGTAATGTGCATTCAGGTGCCTTCAGAATCGTTGCATTGCATCCAGAAGCAAATTAGATACCCTGCACACGCGCTTGGAGGGAAAAGTCTGTGTGGAACACCTTCGCATGTAAACTTATTTGCATGTACAGTAAATGCAAAACAAACACTATGGGGCTGATTTACAAACCATTCGAACGGTGAAACGGCTCTGGGAACGAGAATTTCAGCGCATTATGGCCACTAGACGGAGTCGTGAAGTGTAGGAATTTCCTGTGCTCCTCGGCTCCCTCTAGTGGCCATACTGGGTTGCAAATCATATTTGCAGAGCTGTTCACTGTGCAAGCGGCCTAAGCCACCTCTATGTGTTAAATAAAACAAATGGCTCTAAACCCCTCACCATATATTAAAAAGCCAACATGAAGTTGCAATACAATACAATACAAAAAACTAGACATGTGCGATTCCTTTCGTTCCGAATCGAAATTCGGACGGATTTTCGGAAATTCGGACATTTGGATGTATCCGAATTCCGAATTACAGACATAACGAATGCAAACGAATCCGAATTTCCATTTCCGAAATTCGGTAGCGTTAGTTCGAACGTTCGTTTCGGTTTTTGTTCTTATTCGTTTCGTTCGTTGGAGCAAAGTGACATCAGAGAAGGAGAAAAATATTTTTCCCCCCTCAAATGTCACTTTGCTGCAAACGAACGAAACGAATAAGAACAAAAACCGAAACGAACGTTCGAACTAACGCTACCGAATTTCGTCCGAATCCGAATTCCGAATCCGAATTGACTTTCACACCCGAATCCCGAAAAACAAAATAACACAAATCCGAACCTTGACACCCAAACCTTAAACCCCCAATTGAACATTCAATTTAAATCAGCTACATACAATTCAGTTGCATCAAAACAAAATGTAAAATGTACTTTCTAAAGTAGCCACAGCCTGTATAGAAAGGCCTGTCCCCTGCCAGCATGCTGCAGAGTGGGGACCCTTGCTCTCTGTGCGGAAGCAGCGGCCTCTCTGCAGAGGTCTGAAAGACGCCCGGCTGAGACAGAGCTAAAACTCTCCAACCTAGAGCTCCTCAATCAGCAAAGCTCTTGCTCCTCATCCTCTGCTTGCACACAGAGAGCAAGGGTCCTTCTCTGCAGCATGCTGGCGGGGCACGGGCTTTACTGCTCAGGTTGTGGCTGCTTTATAAAGAAAACGAACTGTAACACATTAAATACCTTTTGCTCTGATGTTTAATAATACTGAAATCAAATATATATGGAGATGTTTGCCTGGAGTTCAGCCTTTATGTCATGGCCGTCTCCTCTGATTGGACAGCCCCCGTTACCTTTGTAGCCTTGGTCGGTTTCCCTGAGATCAATGGCAGTAATTGATTTAAAGTTTAAATCCCACAGGCGCACGCAGCCGTCCCGACCTCCGGTGGCGAATCCTTCCTCACAGGCGTTCATGCTGAAGATTCCGGCCTGGGAAAGGAGAAGGTTGATTGGTCAGGAGAGGAAGGAACTGCTGAGATCTCTAACCCAGGCGCTGGTATAGCTGGGACTTGTGGTTCATCACATGCTAGAGAGCTGCAGGCTGGGCAAGCCCGACTAAGACCTTTAACGGGAACCTACATGTATTGGAGAGTGCAAGTTCCCAGGCTAATCTTCCTGGAATCACTGCTTGGCGAGTCCCTGAACAAGTGTGAGCATATCAGATGTCTGAGACTTCACTGGCTGCATACTTGTTCTGGGTCAGCAGGGTACGTTTGAAAGCCGAGCAGCCTACACCTTTAAAAGTCAGCAGTGGCAGCTCCCATAGGACTATCCCTACACTTCCTGTCCCAGAGACACAACAGGAAGTTAGGGGAAATCTCTCCGTACTGGGAGGAAATCCCCTCCTAGCCCCCATTCACACTAGCCGCGTGTTCATGCTTGGGCACCCAAACATGGCAAGCAAAACATGTGTCTTGGTGTACATAGGACAGCCCACTGATATGAATGGGCTGCCCTATGCCGACAAACGCTGCAGCACGCGCACGGCAAGTGTGAATAGCAGCTTGGACAGTTGTCACTGGGTCAGGTGTCCCTATAGAAAAGTTTGCCCTCAGTTCCTGTTTCAGTGACATCTGTAAAATTTTGGCTTTCCCGTCATTTTTGGTCCCAGTGACAATGGCGACCAGGAGGAGCAGAGATGGTGAATCTGTTATGGAAGGACACAGCCAGAGACAAAAAGCTGACAGAGGTTCTAATTCTAACCCATCACCACTAAAAAGTTTTGGGCTTTAGCTAAACTTTAAAAACAATTTAAAACTTCTTTCCAAATCGCTGTCCCGGAATAACAAAGATGGCGACCGAAACAGCGGTACTCACGGCGTGCGCTCCTTGGATCGTCCGAGCGAGGTTCAGCCCCTTCCACACGTAGATGTCCCCGTTCAGAGCCCCGGAGTAGGTCACGTCGTCCCTCGCGCCCGCCAGGCACAGTATGGTCTGCAGGTCGCCCGTCTTCCCGAACACGCCGCGCTTTGGCGTCAGCGAGTTCCCGCAAAGGTTCCAGAACTGCAAGGCAAGGACAAGGCAACCTTCAGAACAGATGGCGGAACCGGACGCACAACGTACAAGGTGGACAGAAGGAGAAAAGTCAGAGCCGGCCAAGCATGAACATTCAACAGAACCGCAACAAAAAAACAATATGGTGGTCACACGGATCAGAAATGTCAACGAAGGAGAACAAAGATATACCCAGACACACGATAGTCAGGACAACCTTCACCGGGGTACCATCCTCCCAAAATATCTGAAGGTCAAAGAGAGACTGTAAGGCTTTGGTTCTCAACTGGTGGGTCGCGACCCCGTGTTCAGCGGGTTGCCACATGCCTTCCACTTTTTTAGGTGAGAGGCTCCTCAGCCTCCCCCAGCGCAGCACTGTCAGTTCTCACGCCGAGCAGCCATTCAAAATATGCTGCCCAGCACCGAGTGTCAGCTCGAGGTGGGGGTGGTCTGGGGGTATGGCTGCCAGGATGCTCCACCCATACGTACCACGCAATCGCACCTACCATGCATTCTGGTGTGGGATGTGTATTGCGTTGCTATTCATTTGAATGGTACCCCAAACGCACCTCCCACCCACACTTCGTACGGCCACACTGGAACGCGCAGTGCTGTGTGTTCCATTGCAGGGCAATTTGGGGTCTACTGAGCTTAGAGTAACGGGAGGATGCTAGTTTGTGTCCTCCTGTTACCCTAAGGAGAACTATGGGGAAAAACACTGACCCCCTAGTTCTCCTTTAAAGACCAAGCACAAATGTGGGTCCTGAGGATACACAGATTGAGAACCACTGATTTAAAGGAACTCAAACTGGAATCCAAGACATTACATCAGTTAGAAACCATTACATAGAAAAACACATATATTAGAAAGTCAACATGGCGGTCTAAGGTTCAACCTATTGCATGGTAAGCCAACCGACGTGGCCCCTCCGAGATCTATATTAAATTGATGATTGGAAATATTGATGAGGCATTGATTAGGAACACATGGCGGGATCGGGATGGCTTGGTGAACAAGAGTCTACACCAAAGGTAGGCAACCTCAATGCTCCAGCTCTGGTGAAGCTACGAATCCCGTCATGCATCTGCCTCTGGGAGTCACCACTGTGGCTGTCAGAGTCATGCAATGCCTCATGGGAATTGTAGTTGCACAACAGCTGGAGGGCCGAGGTTGCCCACCACTGCTCTGCGTGTTTCTTAGACCAATGGTCCACATCTTCTGGAGATATGGCAAAGGGTTGGCAATAATGTAGTCTACATATACTAACGCATTCCGCCTCTCACCATAAGCACTTCAGCATGCAATAGGGCTACAGGGGACCACCATGGGAGCACATGGACTCAGTATGTTATCCATCAATAGTATCCCAAATTCACAGCTACTATTTATATTGCTATATAGAGGAATCCCAAATGTAAAGAGATCCAGTATATAAGAAAATCCAGTTCAGATCAAAGGGATGAATAGAGAGATCCAAACCAGATCATCAATTCCTACCATCAGCAACAAGTGCCTCACAGGCAACCTTCACCCCCAAATATCACTGGTGGGTTAGGTCTCGGAGGGGCCACATTAGTCGGATTATTATGCAATATGGACAATTTTAGAGCAACTACATGTTGGCTTTTTAATTATCCCCTTCTTAATACAGGACAAGACCCTGCTAGCTTTGTTTACAGCAGCCTGGCACTGGTTCTCCATGCAATAAAAGGAGAAGGATTTCTAACTGATATAGTGCATTGGATTCCAGCTTGAGTGACCTTAGAGGCCCTTCTACGTCCTTCAAATGTTTCACGAAATGTCAAAGTCAGACGGAATTTTCAGGTTGGGCTTGTGTTGATGGGATCAATTTGAGACGCTTCTGAGATCATTCAAAATTCACTCACAGGTGCATTTGACCTCCTCCTGACCAGCATTTGACCCTCTTCTGACCTGCATTTGACCCTCTTCTGACCTGCATTTGACCCTCTTCTGACCTGCATTTGACCCTCTTCTGACCTGCATTTGACCTCCTCCTGACCAGCATTTGACCTCTTCTGACCTGCACTTGACCTCCTCCTGACCAGCATTTGACCTCCTCCTGACCAGCATTTGACCTCCTCCTGACCAGCATTTGACCTCCTCCTGACCTGCATTTGACCCTCTTCTGACCTGCATTTGAGTTGCAGTTATCTTCCTTCTGACCTGCTTCAAGCAGGTTTTGCATTCCCATAGACTTATATGGGAAAGTAAAACCCCTTTGGCATGAACAAAAGCCCATCAACACCGGCCCTAAGGGCCCGTTCACACCAGATGCAGTGCGTTCCTGCACGATTCTGGCCAGAACGCACTGCCTCGCATTGCGGCCGGCTCACTTTTTTTGTGGGGCAGGAGGGGGCGTGGCGGGCCATTGAACTGAATGGCACCGTAGCCACGCCCTCCGGCCGCAATGCGAACGGCCGAACAGGATCGCAAGGCACATTGTGACTGCGGTCCTGTCTGATCAAAACGCTGCAAGCACTATTTTGATCGCACAGGGCCGGACCGGACTACAGGCATAAGGTGCCTTGCGCTCCTGTGCAGACCCGGCCGCAATGCGGGGCAGTGCGTTCTGGCCAGAATCGGGGCGGGAACGCACTGCATCTGGTGTGAACGGGCCCTAAATCCGCTAAATATATTTCAGCTGCATCAAAACAAAAGCTGTGCAAAGTTTTACAGGGTTCAGAGTAGAAAAGCCCGTCCCCTGCCAGCATGCTGCAGAGAAGGACCCTTGCGCTCTGTGTGGAAGCGGCGGTCTCTCTGCCGAGGTCCGACAGACCCCCCTACTGAGCCAGAGCTCTCCAACCAGCCCAGATTATGCTCCCTGAAGACTGGAGAGCTCGGGCTTTGATTCATTTTGGACTTTTAGTACACAGTCAGGCAGCCCGGCTTGCCAAGCAGTAGCTCTCTACACCTTTTCAGTCCCGCGCTCGATGTGTAAATGTCGGGGTGCACGAGGTCTTTGGTTTTTTTAGGGCGTTCTGTAACAGAGCCAGGATTATGACATGTGTTTCACAGGCCATGGGTGGGTGGGCCACCTCGGCAATCCAGCTGGCCACAGGCACAACTCTCAGAGGCAGCAGCATAATGGGATTTGTAGTTTAACCGCAGCTGGAGTGCCTGCCTTAGCCAATGGGGACCCAGTGCTGGTACTGCAGAGGGAAGCGGTTCTGAAGGAGGTGAGGAGTGGGCTGACTGAGCTGCCGGGTTCAGAGCAGACATAATCTGCTGTGTTCTTATTAAAGGACTGAACTAGTCCTTCGCCGTAATTCTTCCAAACTTGATAACAAAGCATCTGGCCCGGAGCTAATTCATTTACAGAAGAGCCATTTCCCGCTCCAATCAGAGATAAGTGGATCAGTGTCCGCAAAGCCCCACCCGCAGGAGCAGAACCGCTGAGGAGACGCTATGGAGGAACAAAGTGTTCCATCATTCCCCATCATCCCCGCGGCCCCATCAGAGAAGATTACATTGTACCGAGGGCTGCCAAGGACATACGACAGCCGGCCCCAGAGAACGCTGCACACAGCAACAATGTAACGCCTGTCAGCGTCCTGAGAACGTGGACTGACGCTGCACACAGCAACAATGTAACGCCTGTCAGCGTCCTGAGAATGTAGACTGACACTGCACACAGCAACAATGTAACGCCTGTCAGCGTCCTGAGAACGTAGACGGACGCTGCACACAGCAACAATGTAACGCCTGTCAGCGTCCTGAGAATGTAGACTGTGACGCTGCACACAGCAACAATGTAACGCCTGTCAGCATCCTGAGAACGTGGACTGACACTGCACACAGCAACAATGTAACGCCTGTCAGCGTCCTGAGAACGTGGACTGACACTGCACACAGCAACAATGTAACACCTGTCAGTCTACATTCTCAGGACGCTGACAGGTGTTACAAGCTATCACCCCATGGAGCCCCGAGTGGGAGAGCCATCGCATGCCGCTTCAATACTTTGAGTGACAGGCCCAGAATAAGCCTGGGGGAGTAGTCCACACCCTTAATCAGATCACACACACGAGTTCAACCTGAACCCAAGATGTCCGCCGTTTTTTGCCTCGGGCAGCATCTCATTGGATCAGGTCGACCTAGTCCCGCCCACTTCTTTCTGGATTGACAGCGCTGCCTCTGATGCTGAAACCTGTGAGCTGCAGTGTCTGGGAGGGGGAGCGTGTGAGACACAAATGAGGGAGGATTTGGCTCAGTCGGGGGAAGGTGAAGGAAGACGTGTTGATGAGATTTGTGCATGACGTAGTAGCTGGATTTGGGAATTGTTTGGACCGCCATGCAGGAGCCTTCTGTTGTATTTTAATTCAATTCCGGGAGATCCTTTCATTAAAACAATATTCTTCCTTTCGGAGGCGTCCCGAGGCGGGGGGTGACACCCCGAGCGGGTACCGGGTGACACCCCGCAGTGACGTCACCATCTTGGAGAGAGGAGGGGACGTCTTCCGGTGGGAGCCGGGTCCCCTCCTCTCTCTCGAGCTACTGTCGGGCTCTCGGTTCATGATCGATTGCCTGACTTTTCAGGGGGGGGTGACACCAAAATGACTGTCAGTGTCACCCCTCGAATGGTGTCACCCGGGTGCGGGCCGCACCCCCCTTGTGACGCCACTGCTTCCTTTCTATTCCTGAACGGCCTCCTCTGTGTCTGTTATCCGAAATATTTGGCTTTCTCAGGATCCTCCGCAGCCGGCCGAACTTCGCACACAAAACTAGGCCAAGTCACGGTTCAGTGACACTTCCGCAAGGTTTGTGATCCGCCAATGTGAACGGAACTGGAAC